CATTTGCTTCGACATTTTCAACAGTGCAAGTGAAAGAAGCAGCAGAAGGAGAAAGTGCAGAAAGGATTAGAAAGGAAGACATTGATCCTACTAAACCCTTTTTCAGTGACCAGGTCCGTTTCTTCATCTAGGATTCTTCTTTTACACATTTTTCTACACTTTTTATTCTTGTCCAGGGTACTTGCGGTTTGGCTATCTACATAAATATTTATAGCTAAACACTTTTCTATTAGGCAAAAGTATGAGATGAGGACCCAAACTTCCACAAAATTCACAATTCTAGACCCAAACTTGAATTGTGGTCAATTAAGGTCTCAAACTACACAAAATTCTCAAATAAGGTCTCAATTGGATGGAAAATTAACTTGCTGTAAAAAATGTCTTACAATTTCATTAATGTCCATTACTCTCTCAATGAGTTAACATTCAATGGCAAGTTAACTTTTTATCTAATTGGGACCTTATTTGAGAATTTTATATAATTTAAGACTTTAATTGAGTGAAATTTTGTGCAAGTTTAGATCCTTATACCATATTTTTGCTTTTCTATTGATGATTCCATTTATGACATGGCTAATACTAAATGAATGCAGATAACCTATCCCGAAAAAGAGAGAATAGATGCAAATTCGTACTTGAACCCCCTTTTCACTGCTAATTTTATGGTTCAAGGGTCAAATTAAGACTGCTGGAACATCTCCTTTTAGATATAAAAATGCTAATACCTCTCACGTTTTCTTAAATATACTTTTTATTTGCCGATCAAAAAAATATAAAAATACTAGAGTTGAAGCAATAGATTAATTGACCATGATATAGCCCAAACCGATTTGAGTTCCCATCTATGTAACACCTCTCTCTGATGCAAAGGTGATTCTTTTGCTTGTTTCCCTTTATTTTTAACATTTCATGTCTTAGAATACTTCTTTATTTATATCATATTAATATTGCAGTTTTTTCTCTTAGGTTTCATTCCCCCGTTTAATGTTCCTTGTGATCCATGGTATGCGGAGCTTGAACATGATTTGGGATAATCAACTTGATGCTGATTCCTTCTACAGACTACAAACGCTCTGGGTGGCATCTTGCGAAAAATTGTTGAATATTTTTCCAATTACTATGCTTGGAAGGCTTCAAAACCTTGGCAACCTAGAAATAACGATGTGTGTTTCACTAGAAAATATACTTCAACATCAAGGGCCAAGTGCAAGTGAATCGCAAGCTTTGAAATCTTCTCAATCAACTATGGTGGAAACGGCAATAAACTTTGAATTTCCAAAAGTAAGACGTTTGATTCTTGCGGGTTTACCCAATCTCAAGAGCTTCTACCCTCAAATGCACACTACAAAATGGCCATCATTGGAAACATTGGTGGTATTTAGATGTAATCAGGTGCAGATACTTGCTTCAGAACTTTTGAGCTATCAAAGAACAAGTGAAGAGACCCAACTTAAAAGTCAAAATGAGCACCCTCTGTTTTGGGTCAATAAGGTATGAGCTCTAAAAAATGAACATAAAAACATGTGCAGGGCCTAACGTCGGCTGTTTATGTCATTTTTCTAATTTTCAATTTTTAATATTTGCATAACTTGTCAATTATTTACATGTTAATTTCCCTTTTTATAGATATTTAAATAGGTTAAATTGAATATGTTTTATTTATGTGTATTAATGTTTATAACAATAGTTAGAATTTTGAATCTAATTTGGCATAATGAGCAGAGGATTTACATCATCTATCCATTTCATCCTCCTTGTTTTGTAATGTTTCAAATCATGTCAATTTCCAGGCTACATTCCCAAGTCTAGTGGAACTAACAGTGCTGAGGAACGACAGCATGAAGGTGATGTGGTACAGTGATGATGTGAAGGAAGGCATTCTTTACTCCAAACTCGAGACTTTGAAACTTAAAGCTCTTCCAAGACTGGAAAGCATCTGCTCAGGGAGTTGCAACTTTGAATTCCCTTCTTTGAAAGATGTACTTGTGATGGCGTGTCCAAATATGCAGACTTTCTCTAAGGGAGAAGTAAATACACCAAAACTGCAGAAAGTGAAACTGACAGAAGATGAAGATGAAAGATATTGGGGAGATGGTGTTAAGTTCGGAATAGTTATTCGTAAAAAATGGTATCTATTGATTCAAGAGATTTCCTTATTTTTTATTTGTTTTATGCCTTTTTTTCTTCTCCTTAATTATCCCATTCCCATTAAAGACATGATGAAATTAAATATGGGGAAAGGTTGTGGTAAACTTGACAGATTATTTGTTGTTATATTGCTTTAGCTAGCCTTCAAAATGTGCTCATCATGATTGCAGAATGGTGATGACTCTGATGAAGACTGGTCTCACGCTTTACACAAGCTGTATGATTAAGTTGATGTTTGAGAAGGTGAGCAGGTTCTCTGATGCCATCAACATTACTTCTCTGATATATTAGCTTTCCCTTCAAACAGAAACAACTCTTATACAATCTGTAATATATATGTTGATGATACTTTCTTCCTTGTAGGTTTGAGGTCAAATCAATGGTTAAACTTTTACAATATTAAAGTGTACCAAGAAAATATTGTAACAGAAAAAAGTAGCGAGATCACCAGTCTAATGTAGTGAATAAGTTTGGAGTCTGAATTGATAAAGAAGAATTAGTCCTTTCCCCATTGGAACTTTGGAATATGGTTGGGGCTAACCCATAAAATGGAAAAAGGAAAATTACACGGCACCGTTTCACGGTTGAAGACACAGTGAACTAAAACCCAACGGTTGGGTTCTATAAACCGCGCTCGTCCCAGTCCCCTTCCTCAGTTCCCCCAAGTAAAAACCCTTGAAAATGGAGGGAGCATCGTACCAGCGATTCCCGAAGATCAAAATCCGGGAGATGAAAGACGACTACCTCAAGTTCGAGCTGCGGGACACCGACGCCTCCATGGCCAATGCCTTGCGCCGCGTCATGATGGCGGAGGTCCCGACTATCGCCATCGATTTGGTGGAAATCGAGGTCAACTCCTCCGTTCTCAACGACGATTTCATTGCTCACCGCCTCGGCCTTATCCCGCTCAGAAGTGAACGCGCCATGTCCATGCGGTCCTGGCTTGATTGCGATTCATGCGCTGGTGACGGCCAGTGCGAGTCCTGCTCTGTTGAGTTCCATCTGCGGGCCAAGTGCATGACCGATCAGACACTTGATGTTACAAGCAAGGATTTGTATAGTTCGGACCACACGGTGGTTCCTGTGGATTTCACGGACTCATCTGGGTATGAGTCATCTGAGCAGAGGTATTCACATTGCTCTCTCTTAATGCCTTTGCACATTTGCATAATTTCTGTGC